TCTGTCTGTCTGTCTGTCTGTCTGTCTGTCTGTCTGTCTGTCTGTGTCTGTGTGTGTGTCTGTGTCTGTGTGTCTGTGTCTGTGTGTCTGTGTGTGTGTGTCTGTGTCTGTGTGTCTGTGTCTGTGTCTGTGTCTGTGTCTGTGTCTGTGTCTGTGTCTGTGTCTGTGTCTGTGTGTGTGTGTGAATGTTTTCGTGTATAATTATATAGCCATACATCTACGTCTTATGAATATGTGTGAGCATTTGTAGTTCCACAAAATATGATGCCCAAGACCTTTGAATGAATATGCGGTGTTTTGATCGCAACACTATACATTAATGCGAATGCATAAGTATAAGTACACATGCTTGGTCATGTTGTCTAAAGTATATCTAAATAGCTTATACGATAGTGACGTATATGCACTTTTAGACTGATAGGTCAGCCACCGAATAGGTGCACATACACATACGAAGTCATTGGGGCCTCATGGTTGAAAATGTTGAAACCCCGCCCATTGCTGGGTTTGTGCTTTTGAACAAAACACTCGTTCTTTCGTGCGTTTTGAGGAGGATTCCCCAAAAGACATGTAAACCCTGATACTGGCTGATAGGTAACAAGCGCAGTCGTTCAAACGACTATGATCCAAACTGTGGAGCGGATAGCTGGCATCAACCACATCCTATAAGGGTGTCCCCCCCGAAACCACCGCTGGAGCAGGATATGACTTAGAACTGTCGGTAAGTGGTCAAACCTTCATCATTGGGGCTATTGCACTCCAGACAGCACAGATGTGGACAAGCAAACGGCAATCAATGAAATAAGTGGCTCGGAAGACTGGTTCCAAAGAACTCGTAGGACTAGAATGGAGGAGTCGCTCGAGAACAAAAAGCTTGCTAGCAATAACTCAAACTTAAAATTTATGAAGAAAGTGATGAATCTCAAAAACCAACATCACGACTGGGCTCCAACAACCGACCAGATCGGGCAGGTTGGGTTACAGACCCCAAGTTTCAAACGACATGACGGGAGTCAATCCGCCATCCCGACGAGGTGTAGCTGATTCCAAAGGATCGGAGTACATGGGTGGCATGCCAAAATCCGAAACTTGACAAGAACATGGTGGGGAGCCAACACTGTACACCGTAAAGCCCAAATACTGCATTTCGGCCCCAGCTAATGGGGCATGATGGCTGTCAAATCAAAAGCCTGGAAAGATATCAGGGATGACAAGAGTTGAAAGAGGTTGCAAAATCTGATAATCTTGATTAGCCATATGCCCAGGTTCTAAAGAAAAATTACCGGTGGCAAACTCGAATACTCTGAACTTGTAACTTGGTAGCAGAAACCCAAATCTGTACTGCAAAATTGTGTTTATCAACTGTGATTCAGTATAAGAGTTTGGACACGCTAAGAGAAGATCTTGTCATTGTAGAGATTTCTAACTAGAAATAAGCAAATACTCCATAAAATCATGAGAGACTTTTAAGAAAATCGCATATGTTGCTCGAACGACACGGGCCTTTATTCCGACGCACTCGCTGCATAAATATATACATACACCTAGATGCATGTACAAGGGTCTGTCATCCTCCTTGTGAGCAAAGGCTTATGGATGTTGCGTTTATTTCCCCCACTTCTGCCTGTGAGCATCAGCTTCGCTCCCTTTTTTCGTCTGGCAAACTTGTGTATACTCTTCCGTCTCTTCTATGCAATCCTGCTGTTTGCATTGATCACTGTTCTTGTATATGCGTCCTTGTACGTAAGGCCATTTCCGCACCTGCCGCCACGCCCCCCTCTCCAACGAACCAACAACAATGCAGTCTCCTCCGTTTGAAAGCCGGTGCTACAGCCTGAAAAGAAGAAGAAGGACCTCAGACTAGACTGAAGAGGGAAGAAGAATGGCATTGGAGGGTGACACGAGGCTCCAGCCTGGCACGAATGACCCCCAGAACCCTCCTCGCCCTTTTCATCGAGGCACCACTCCGCAGGAGCCTGTGAGCAAGATGGCGAGGTCACTGGCCTGGCAGAGCTTTTGAAAAACCAGAAAAGTTCTCAAAGGTGTTGCTGTTACTGCCTCGAGGTGTGCTGCTCTCAAGGCTTCCAGTGGTAAGACATCCCAGAAACCTTGCACCAAGCACCTTAGCATGCAGGACATTGCAGGACTTTTGTCAGGAGGCAGTTTTTATGTAGCCGTGCTGCTGCAGCTCTTCCCGGAGCTCACTGCAAAGGAAAGCCTCACAGAGGAGGACAAGATACCTGGCAGAGATCACATCACGCCTCCTTCTCCGGTCCTGACTAAATCGACGAGGCCTGTGCAGGTTCTCCTTTGTCACCTTGCGACAGGCTCCGCCAGGTTCCAGCTCCTCCCAAGTCTCCACAGGTGATCGAATGGCTTTCGAGACACGGTCTCCTCGGCAGGTCGGAGCTCCGTAGGCACAGACCTGAACGGAACCGCGCGGCACGCCCTCACATGCAGCTCGCTCCCAATATCTCCAGGGGACAGAAAAGTCAAAGGCTCGCCCAGAGCTGCCTCAACCTGCAAAGAACATCTCAACATCAGACCAGAAAGCCCATCAGTACAACTCCGCGTGCTTCGGCAGTGGATACAAAGGAGTCGGCTTTTCTGACCATAGAAGTCCATTCGACAGATCTGCTTGCTCATTGTTGAGGTCTCTCGAAGATGACAAGCTCCAGAAGTAGGCAGCCCGAGAACCCAAAGCGCACAAACTGCGAGACCGTCGTGAGCTCAGACCACCGAGGCACTCACCAGACTCCTAAAGTTCCATTCGTTGAGCCTCTTCCAGACCGTCCGGGCTCAGCAGCGGCTCCACCTCAGCGGCTAATCCTGCGCTAAGAACGCCTGTCTGCTGAGCCCACTGCTCGCTGTCGATAGAAATCACTGTCCAGGAGCTTCCTGAGATGCGAATTCAAAGCTGTGATCAGACTATATCAGTCGGGTTCGACTACAATTACCTTGTTGGGTGCATAGAAACGAAGCAGCACCAGCCCTCAGACATCGACCTCAGCAACTTGTGACTTGGCTGAATCGTTTCGGTGCTGTCTTTACCCCGTCCCCTTTCTTTCCCTGTCGACGACTGTGGCAGAGGATTTGGAGCTCACTCTTGGTCGTAGCTCTTGTTGTATCTGGCCGGGGTGCAAGGCGCGAAGGCGCACTAAGCTCTTTCGACTTTAGACTTTTTAAACTTGAAGTCCAAGCTTCATGTCGGAGAGCTCCACAGGGGCTCCAACCAAATATTTGCAAACGAACCTGAGATGCCAACACAGGTGAATCGAAGAAAAGGCTGGATGGGCTTCGTATGTGCGAGACAAAATGCGGTGACAGCGGCATCGGCAAGGGCCGACCTCCGTATCAGTGCAGAATGCAGTTTTGCTCTTGTGACTTGAACATTTGCCTGGCGGCGGGTAGAGGCATGACACGATCCCAAAGTCAGTTCTGAAGGCTTCAAGCCTGTCAACCCTTCATCCATCAAGCGCGGAGATACAGTGCATGGCATTACATAGGGTCGTTTCAGGAGCCCTGGAAGTCAGCCAAACTAGTATCGCACCTCCATGGAGGGTTGCCAGGGCAAGGAAGCGACCACAAACGAAAAGATCGCGGTAGTGCCCTGGCAGGCACATGACGTCCGAGAAGGCCTAGCCGATTTAGCCCTCTGCCTTCGGCACTATCATCAGTCTCCTTGCGCACTGGCCGTGGGATCAGCATCCTTGTCATCAAACGATGCAGAATCTCAGGAGCCGTCAGTACAAGAGACAATAGGCGTAGCTCCTGCTGCTGGCGCCCATTGTCAGAATAGAAGCACTCTCGTCGCTGCCTCACGCTGTAAATCACACATCCACGGACCTCTTGGCTGATCTTGAAGCCCCTAAGTAAAAATCAAGAAGAACCAAGCAAGACCCGTTTCTTCAGGGCGGGAAGGGGGCTTGTCGACTTTCCATCCCTGGGTGTGATCACAACGACGGCGTGAGACATGCGGCGAGCACCTGCATCTGCAGCGAGTGCATGACCTACGCCGCAGAACCAATCCTGAGATGGGAGACGCCATCCAACATGATTGGTACAAGCGACATTCGCGCTGCATAAACTGACAGAGCAAAAACAGTACTCGCCTGCGCGACTCCACCTTGATCTTGAGCCTGTTCGCCTCTGCCCGGTGCTGATACTGACTGTGCAGTCATGTGGTTTCAGACTTGGCACTTGAGAAGCCCTGCCTGCATACTCTATGCGTAGCTTGGGCGCTAAGAGCTCCAAGTAAGCTGCCTTCGCAGTACATCTTGCACACACCCTGCTTAAAATGCGTTCGTGTCATTTTCTCAACTGGCACTGTGCAGTGATGCAGGGCCTCCTGCAAAGCTTCCCAACTGTCCTCGAGTATGTTGCTACGTCGTATGTGGAGCTCAAAGTGCTCCTGCAGAATCTCCTTCGAATGAAAGAGATTGCGCTGCATGCCGAAGCAGCAAGGCAGTATGAATACGGAAGAGTGGCCGTGCAAACTCAAAAATTCGAATCGTAGCAACCGCATCGAGTTCAAACGTCTGAAGTCGTTTGAATGACATGGTTTGGTCTGAGTCACCTGATTGAGTGCTTCGACTGCTGAGTAGTGAATGCTGTTGTGGCCCGCTCACTGTTTCAGTGAGCTGAAAGTTGTAGCCGGCTTTTGAAAAATCTGCCGCCCTCCTCCGAAGTGCCTGTAAGGCTGGGTGTCATCCGCGTACTCCCAAAGGGCCAAGGGCGGAATTGCCCATGTCAGTCCCGTGCGTCAGCCATCATCATGCTGTGTACGACCAGGAATGTGCTGGAAGGAGCATACCTGACTGTCCGACCCGGCCTGTGAGGAAGGGTCATTCTCCTGCTTTTTGGTCCTGACTGTGAGTGGGGGCTTGTGTTGATGTAAACCACCAACACGGGAGAGATATCGCCCCTCGGCCACCAGAACACTAGCCAGTTAAACAATTTCTTCTTGTGGGAGACGGCACTCAGCCTCGACTATTGTTGAATTGTTGGATTGAAAATGATTCTTTCTAGTGTTGCATCTCCTCGACTAGGTAATTACACCGGCCCCCTGCTTTTGGTAGGTTGCGGCCATGCTCGACGGCAAACCGCGGATCTAGTGCAGCGAGGCAGTTGCACATATCATCGAAGGATTAGGACGCTTGGAAAGGACATAAGCATGACTCGTCCAGAACACGTCACAACAACAGCATCCCAACGAAAACCCAGCACTGTAGATGACAAGTCCACTGCAGCAGCAGAAGTCTAACACAAGCATGTGCCAGACCATCCGTGGCAACAGCAAGTGGGTGTAGTGACGTGACCGGCAGAGGTCGTGCACCGACATGCATCAGCACGATGGAGTCTGGCATCAAGTCATCGAGCCGTCTAAGTGCGGCAAGCTGTTTGGCACAGATTTGGCAGAACACAAGAGCATTAGATCACGGGGGAGCGAGTCTCGCGAATGAGTGAGCGAGAAGGTCAGAAGCCTCCGCACATTTGAGCCAGGACTTGAGCCGAAGTTGTGTTCTCTTTTTCTCTCTCTCTCTCTCTCTCTTTCTCTCTCCTAAACCCTAAACCCTAATCCGTTCCCGATGGTCCGCGGCACAAGCGACGCTGCATATGCCCCAAAATGACTATGTGGGGACAGCAATATATATTCTGCACAAGGAGATTTAAAAAAAAGCTCTGCCCGAATATTCCAAATCGAGACTCCCAAGTCAGAGCCTGAGCGCATTCGTGCTTCGGACGGAATGAGGAAAGTTGTGACTGGTAATCTATAAAAACTCAATCGCCCTTGGGACGGAATCTCCATGTCATGACTGTTTGAAGAATTTAAATATTTGTTGAACCTGCGTATGTGTATAGAGACATATACGTGCAATGTTTATATTCATAAATATATATATATATACACACACAAATAATTGGTAGACCCAACAACCATAAAGCCTCAGTCGTCCTTGGGACGGAGTGCCCATGTCAGGATTATGTGGGCAACAAAATATTTCCAAAACAAATTGTATTTGTATATATTTATTTATTTGGCTATTAAGTTATTTATTTCATATTTCTATTTATATCTATATCTGCATAGTCGCAGCAGGCTTTCACTGTTTCTATACGGCTTGCATGGCTCAGCTCCGGGCTCCGAGTCAAAAGGACTAAAACTCGCGAGAGCTCGAGGCCTTCAAGAAAGTGGAAGGAGTCCTAGAACTACAGCAGCACAGCACGTAGAGCAAAGCCGTGCCCACACACGGAATGGCCATCGTGTTGCCCAAGAGCTTGCGAAGCACATTGTCCGAGAGCTTGCCCGCACGCAACAACTTGGCCACAGGCGCATCCTGCGGCACACCGATCACATCCAGCATCTCGGCCGGCAAGAGAAAGCGACGCCTGGCCAGATTGTAAACAGCAGAGTTGGTTGTAAAGGTTGGAACCCAGCTTCCAAGCACCCATAAGGAGGGCGCTGTTGCAAATCCGCCATGGAAAGTCTGGCGTCCAGGGGGTTCATCGCCATCTTGTCGTCGCGAATCTCGCGGTACATCTGCAAGGATTGGTGCTTGGTCTTGCTGTCATTGTCTGCAATGTTTGGGCCATTCCTGAAAAAGATGTCGCCACTCAGCTCGCAATCCTTGAAGAAAAGCTCCACAAAGTGAGAGAAGGAACCATTGAAAGCCACTTCGTCTGACCGCCAGACAATGGAATATCTTCGTTTGCGTTTCACAGGCACGGCCAAGTCGGAGGGTCCCATCCGTAGGACACAAATCTTCCATTCTCGGGAATCGAAGAAATGAAGCGGATCCATCAGCATAAAGTCAGGGTAGTCGGGGGTGTTTTCGTGCAGGATGACGTGGACACCAGTAGCAATGACCTGTGACAGCCAAATCGCATGCGGAATGCAAGTTCTCCCATACGTCCCTGATTTTTTGCCTCGTTTACTCCAATCTACGCATGGAGTACCGGCAACATGAATCCTCAAACCAGCACGTGACGTAATGAGTGCTTCATCTTGTACTTGAAGTGCTTCACAATGGTTCTTCATGAGTGGTGCCATCAATTGCCGCATAAAGATCTTCTTTTCCTCTTCGGAAGCACTCGACGCATCCATGCCGGAGGAGTCCACAATCTCCTGCATGGCCTGTAAGGCATCCTCCGACACACAATCTTCGATATTGCCGAAAATGTATCCAGGGGCATGCTATCGCCATGAATCATCTTGGTCATCTCCGAAAGCTTGCAAACACTGCTGCGCGTGCTTGTCCATGTCGCCTGCAGATGACAATGTAAAGCCTTGACCACGACGAAGCTGGCAACATTCCACATCGCAGAATGCGTCCTCCAGGAGGTGTGCTGCATAGGCCGGGGCCTCAATCCCTGAGAAGCGGGTCAAGAGGACCCCGTGCAACACGTGATGGACGAGGTTGTCCTTCATCTCGGCGGTCAGCAACTTGACATGTCTGGATGGCCACTGCAAACACCAATCTACTTGAGCGTCGTCCGAGCTGACCTGCACTGCAAAGGGATAGGTCTGAGATGACCAAGTAGTTGCATGCAACCGCTAGATTGGCAGTCGGCAGACATCATGCAGCAGCACAAGTATTTCTTCAATGCTCGCCAAAACAACTGCAATGGCGTGGACTTGGGCTGTTGCCGCAAGCGTGCACACTGCAGCTCAAGCAAAAGGCTGCATGCTGCATCCGGAAGAGGGCCGAATTGTGGCACGACAAACATGCGAAGATTCCTTCAAGAAAGCGAAGGGCCAAGGCTTGAACGTGCACTGGTAGCATCTGGCAGCACTCACTCTTGCATGCGTGATTGCGTGATCGTGCGTGGCTGTGCAAATCCAAGCCTTCCAGATCGCAGACAGGCAGACACACATACGGATACACACATCGGACTCCGGATTTCACCGGATGTGCCGGGAGACTGCTGGCTTGTTCTTCTGGCCAGCAGCAGCAGCGGACTGGAAAAGATGCTTTTTCGAATCGCCCTGGCTCAACTTGAAGGTTGCTGTCGGCTTCGAAGGCGGAGGCGGCGGAGGTGGCGCGTCTTTCCCTCCCTCGGCCGTCGGGCGACTTTGGGGCTAAGGCCAAGGGCAAGGCTTACAAAGTCGTACTGGGTTTCTGGGGCCTAGGGCTTAGGGTCCTTAAGCCTCAGGGTTCTTGGAATGGTTTGGGGCTTATAGTGCTTATAGGACTCCTTGCACTGCAGCGGGGTCTGCGGTGCATCGGCGGGAGGCTGCGGAGGGGATGTCGCCGATATTGCCGATGTCGGTGTCTCGGTTGCCTCAGCCTCCGGCGCAGAAGCTGGCAATTCGGCGGGTGGCACTGCTGCATTTGCTGGATCCGAGAATGTCGCCGATGTTGCCGATGTCACTGTCTCGGCTGCCTCAGCCTCGGCGGCGGGAGCTGGCGGTGCAGGGGCTGGCAATTCGGCGTGTGGCACTGCTGCACTTGATGGATGCGATGACGCCGGCGCTTCTGCTGGCACTGCAGGCTGCTCAACGACTTGGGGTGGCGGTGGCTCATTCTTTGTGTCCTGCTCCTCCGACTCCAGCTGGGCTAAGGCCTCGTCCGCAGCCTTTTTTTCAGCTTCCTTGGCAGCCTTGGTGCTCTCCACTTCGGCTACCCTGCTCTGCAGCTGCAGAAAGTGCATGACCATGCCCGGCATCTTGGAGCCCGCCTCCGTCATCCAATCCATCGCCACCCTGGTGTTCTTGCACGGCTGCTCTGGCAAGAAATGGAGCCGGAGCCCGAAACAGCATCGCAAGTTCAAGACCTGTAGGACAGAAAAAGCTTGGGTGAATGAGTTCGGGTGCTTTGGGACTTTGGGGTTATTCTAGCTATCCACGGATCTATCTACACTACACCCAATCGAAACCACTGAGTTCGGGCAAGGGCCCTACTTAACCGATGCACCGCACCCACTAGTCACTAGACGGGATGCAGGACCTTCTCCATGAGCAACCAAGCAGGTGGAACGTAGGCAAGCGTATTTTTAGCCAGGAGTGCGTGATGCAAGGAGCCAGGAAACATGCCAAGGTAGCTCGCGACACTTTGCGGTTGCATGGATGACGCAAAGTTGAGAACGTCCTTGTAGCTGACCCGCTTTCCTTGCTGACAGCTCTGGAGGTAGAGCGACAGCTTCTCGACAGGCAGCATTATGACGTGCCGGTGGCCAACCGTCTGCACGCGCACGGATGGCAATTGCAGGTTGTCAAGACCCGAGGAGACCATGTCCTCCCCATACGCCCAGGCCAGGAGTCCACGTACAGCATCGTACAACGGCGTGCCTTTGCCGCCTCAGCAGCATTCATACCAAGAGCACAGCAGCAGCAGCAGCAGCAGCAGCAGCCGCAGGAACTTGATTTCACCCGAAACAAAGAGCCTTCGGGATCAGGATCAACAGTCATGCCGAGCTCCTGGAGGATGTCAGCACGGAGTCCCTGGGTTT